TCAGCATATGTGTCAAAGATGAATGCGCCTTTTACATTCGCACCACGAAGTACTACACATCTCAGGGAATCGCTGAGAAAGGTATGAACTCTCTGGCAGTGGTAGGTTAGCTTTATTCACCATGAGACGATCGAGCACTTCTAGCAAAAATGAATATCGATCAGCAGCGCGTCTGGATTGACCAGCTAGCCGTGATGAAGGGATGACAGCGGGGCATTCTCCAGGTGCACCTTAGCGGTATCCTGCCCCCGTACACTCGTTGATGTTATGTAAACATAGGAAGCAGCACCGATTCCTGCCAGCCTACAGTTCGCACCTTTTGCAAGCAAAGACACATGTCTTCGCTGACTGCAGGGCCACCCTCATCTCCTCTCGCCGAGTTTTGTATTTCGTCCCCTCATGCTTTTCCTTCGCCGATGACTGCACTGGCTTAAAGATGAAATAGTAAATGAAATTAAATTACTGAACAGGAGCGTTGTTGTATACATTCCTGTTGAGCACCACAGATGGAGACCCCCTGCATAACTCCCATACACTGTTGCATTTCTCCTTTAGTCCCCAGGGCACTTCGCACTGCCTCTAAAGCAGACCTAGGGTTGGAGTTTAAGGAGATTCGCTTCGCGGCTTACAGTCCATCCTTGAATACTTAGCCCTCCTGTAACAAATTAAGTTAAATGGTGCAGAAATACCCGTGGCGAATTAAGCTTGAAATTAGTTCAATGCCCTGCCCTCAGCAGCTAATTTTGAGAATTTGTTGCTGTATCTCAGGCACAACCTGCCGTCGGAAGTCTCGAGGTCGTGCCTAACAGAAGCTCAAGCAAACATGACCACTGTTTTTTTCCCACATCTAACTCACTAAGCCTCACAAATTAGGGGGCTTTGCATTTAGTGAGAAGCAATGCAATGTACATGCGCACTTCACTTCCCGTCTACACTTTGCATGTTTTCTTGTTGAAAATTCGCACAACAAATTTTAATAAGTACGCCAGACAACGAATAAACGATGGGGATAACATCGGAGTGTTAACAGAAAGCGCTCCTCCGCTATTCCACGCACAACGCAAATAAACATCGTAATACGCTTCAATCAATCACATTTTATGATACATACAGATACCGAAAGGAAAAGATCTAAATAAATAAATCACATAGTTAACGAAACATCAAACTTCTGTCAAGCGTTCCATCGATGGGCCATAAAATCGCTAATAAAAATGAAGAGAACGAACTGGAGGGCACGGCACGTCATTCTTTAACCAGACGCAGTCGAATCGGGCTCCTCTCATCTAACTTCCACTAGCTTTTTCTCAGCAAAGATGCTTTTGCCTGAAATTGCTTGAATTTGCTTCTCACTGTAAAACCGCGCGGTCCAGAGCAGCAAAATTTTTCAGCTCATTTGGCAATGATTCTGGCTACAACTGTATGCAAAAGAACATTTCACCAAAGCAAAATAAGCTCACTAAAATACTTAACTTCCTTCCCAGAGAAGTGCAACAAGAAAATAAATGAAGAGATCGCGTAAAAACGCGACAGCCGAATGTTCGTAAGCACAAATTCGATAAAGCAAAAAGGAAAGAACATATAAAGGGGAAAAGTGATCACATGGCATATGAGCCTCCAGTGGGGTACACCGGAGCACCATAGACATTCGGCGCCGGCGAACTACCATACGCGCTACCCGGAACAGCAGATCCATAGGTCGCAGCCATCGCTGGTGCTGCACCCATTGCCGCTCCTCCCGGAAAGGTCAGCATTAGCTGCGGCTCCACTGAAACACAACACATCCAGTTAGACGCATACAAATACCAGGAACACCGAAGATGTTCACATCAACACTACCTCAAAGGAATGGCCAAGAGCAATAAATGTCCCTTTCTCCCATGAATCCTTCCTGCCCGACAACATTGCACCCATCCACTCAAGTCATTGTCCTATGTCGCAGATCGGCACAATCCAAAATCCACTTGAATAAATCTCATCCAACAGCGCTTAGCTTTTTTCACACAGAACATTCATATGAAATTTCGGTTGTTATGTGCGAAAAAGATAGTCGGAATCCCTGCTCATGAATTCGGCCCCCTCCGTTTGGATCAGAGAACTTTTTTCCTGTTTTGGTTTACAGTGGAAAAAAAAAAAAACTAACTCATGACTCCATTTTGCTGTTGTTTCTCTTGAACTTCCGCTTTCCTTTCTGCTTCTGCTCGTTCCAATTTTCCAAGCTAAAAAAAGTCTA